GAGCAATTAGGAGCCAGCAGTCCTGGATTGCGAGAGGGATCCCAGATTGGAGAGGGTGCAGGCCAGGCTGAGGAACTCCTCCCCTCCCATGCACGAATTTTGTGCACTGGGCCTCTAGTAATAATAATAATAATAATAATAATAATAATAATAATAAACAAAAAACATGTCACACCACTAGCTATTAGGCATTTCTTGATATCAAAGGTATTAAATGTGGGAAAATGTGTCTGAGAATAGAGGAAGCAAAGTCTTTGGGGGTGATGAGACCTCATCAGGGTTCTGAGACCGGAAAACTGGGCACCAAGCAAAGTCAGCTTGTGGGGCTCTGATCAGACACTGAAATTAACATGTTTTTCAGTAGGGGTAAAAAGGCTGAAGTGTTAGATTTAATTGTTAAGTTATAAATCACACTTTGTGGGTGTAGGGTTTACCATAATAGCAAAATTCAATATATTAATAAATCTTCGTGACTGCTTCCAAACAATTTCAGTTCTGACCAAGAATGGAGTCAAACTAACTGAGCCAATCATCACTCCCTGAGAACCCTCTCTGGCCCACAGACCCTAAAGTGAGGACCCCGAGAACGAAGCCATTGGCTGCATCCCTTACAGTGAGTGCTCTCCTGAGAGTTGAGAAAAGATGTGCTTGCTCCCCTATAGTTTTCCCCATTGTCCTCTCAGAATACACAATGTTCTGTCCAAGGGTCAAATTAATCAGCATTATGCCACCTGTGCCTGAATAAAAAAGCCACAAATGAAGCTACGTGTCTCAAGGAAGTAATACAATTAATGATTTTCCAAAACCACATACAAGAAAGGTTAGCCTTGGATTTTAAAAAGTTGTATGTTGCTTGTAATATCCCTTAATGACAGAGGGGGAAATACTAGGATTACAAATGAAGATGAATGGCGAAGTCTTGGAAGAAATTATTTTACTGACAAGTCATTTCTTCCTTTCGCAGCCCTGGGTATTTGTGGGACAGCTCCTCGTTTTGACTTAAAGAGATAGCATTTGCTAGATGATAGTACAGTTGCTATGGTGACTTTTTGTTAACAATACTAAAAATAATGAAGCCTGTGTCTGATTTACTAGGACAAGTTAAGCCTTCCTCCACAGCTGTCTGAAAGAAGTAGCTGTCAATTGTCACAGATTTATATCAAATTAAGGGCACACAGTTAGGCACTGAAGT